GTTTCCTCGACGGGTTCAAGAAACTACCTGGAGTCACTCAAACAAGTGAGGATAATTCTGGGCCTCCGCATCCTGCATCGGTCTTCCCAAGTTGGCTTCCTCCACGGGGTCGACCCTTCTCCTTTGTACCTACAACCCGAAGCTATGTCCTTTAGATCTAACTTTTTCGGAACCAGACGACCCAAAATAGCCACCGGGCCCACATCGTAGGCAGTCCCTCACCAACTGGACTCGTGCGAAGTCTAAATACATGAGACGGGTCATAACCCGTTCATGACTTAGAGTTGGCTGCTATCGTTCATGCCTTGAAGATTTGTGAGGCATTATCTATATGGTATATTGTGAGGTATATACGGACCATCGCAGTCTTCAACACTTGTTTAAGCAGAAGGATATTAATTTGAGGCAGGGAGATGGCTTGAGTTACTCAAGGATTATGATATTACTCCTGTATCATCCGGGAAGGCCAATGTAGTGGCCGATGCTTTAAGCCGGAAGTCCATTAGTATGGGTAGTGTGGCGTATATTCCAGCTGGGGAGAGGTCCCCTTGCACTTGATGTTCAGGCTTTGGCCAATCAGATGGTGAGGTTAGATATTTCCGAGCCCAGTCAGGGTGTTGGCTTTATGGTTTCCCGATCTTCTTTGTACGGATCGCATCAGAGAGCGCCAGTATGATGACCCGCATTTGCTTGTCCTGAAGGACAGGGTCCAGCATGATGATGCCAGAGATGTGACCATTGGAGATGATGGTGTGTTGCGGATGCAGGGCCGGATTTGCGTGCCCAATATGATGGGGCTCCGGGAGTTGATATTGGAGGAGGCCCACAAGCTCGCGGTATTCGATTCATCCGGGTGCCGCGAAGATGTACCGGGATTTGAGACACATTACTGGTGGAGAAGGATGAAAAAGGAATTATGTGAATTATGTGGCTCGATGTCTCAACTGTCGCAAGTTCAAATATGAACACCAGAGCCCCGGCGGTGTACTCCAGCGGATGGATATTCCGGAGTGGAAATGGGAGAATATTACTATAGATTTTGTGAGTGGTCTTCTCCTCGTTACCTCGAAGAAGTTTGATTCGATTTGGGTGATTGTGGATAGGCTGACCAAGTCCGCACACTTCATTCCTATATGCACTACTTATCTTCGGAGCGGTTAGCAGAGATTTTCATCGAGAGATTGTGCGGTTGCATGGGGTCCCAACTTCTATTATATCAGATAGAGGTACCCAGTTTCTTCTTAGTTCTGGAGAACATTTCAGCGAGAGTTGGGTTCACAGGTTAGAGTTTGAGCACAGCATTTCATCCTCAGACGGACGACAGTTTAGAGCGTACTATCCAGATATTGGAGGACATGTTGCGTGCCTGTGTTATTGATTTTGGAGGTTTCTTGGGCTGAATTCTTGCCACTTGCAGAGTTTGCTTTATAACAACAAGCTATCAATCCAGCATTCAGATGGCGCCGTATGAAGCCTTTATGGGAGACGGTGTAGATCTTCCTGTTGGTTTGGTTTGAGCCCGGCGAGGCTAGATTATTGGGGACAGAGTTAGTGCAGGATGCTTAGAGAAGGTAAAAGTGATCCAGGAGAGACTTCATACAGCTCAGTCGCGTCAGAAAGAGCTATGCGGACCGGAAGGTTCGAGATGTATCTTATGCGGTGGGCGAGAAGGTCTTGTGAAGGTTTCGCCTATTGAAAGGCGTTATGAGGTTTGGAAAGAAAGGAAAGCTGAGTCCAAGGTTCATTGGACCTTTTGAGATACTTAGGAGGATTGGGGAGGTGGCCTATATGCTTGCTTTGCCACCTAGCCTGTCGGGAGTTCATCGGTGTTCCATGTTTCTATGCTCCGGAAGTATGGTTGGGGAACCCGTCTCATGTATTAGACTTCAGCACATCCAGTTGGATGAGGACTTGACCTACGATGTGGAAGCCGTGGCTATTTTGGGTCGTCTGGTTCGAAAGTTTGAGATCTAAGGACATAGCTTCGGTGAAGGTACAAGTGAGAGATGTCGACCCGTGGAGGAGGAAGCCACTTTGGGGAGACCGAGCAGGGAATGCGGAGCAGATATTCCTCACTTGTTTGAGACTCCAGGTATGTTTCTTGACCCGCTCGGAGGACGAGCGTTTGTTAAGGTTGGGGAGGATGTTAACGACCCGACCCGTCTTACGGGAGTTATCGCCCGTTTTCCCGTTTATGCTTCTATATTGTTCATTATATGTGTTTGGAGAATTTGAAGTAATTAGGATAGAGTTCGGTTGGAAACGAGGACAATAAGTCTCTTTATTGAGAAGGTTAGTTTGGAAAAGTCAACCGAATGTTGACTTATTAGAAGGCTCGGAATGGATTTCCTATGATTTGACCAGTTTCGGTAGATGATTTTGTGACTTAGGAGCGCAATCTAACTGAATTTGGAGGTCCGGTGTGGAATTAGGCTTGAATTGGCTAAGGTTGGATTTTGGCGAATTCCGGATGGTAGGTGAGATTTTGATCCGAGGGTCGGAATGGATTCCGAGAGTTGCACAGTAGCTCCGTTAGGGTGATTTTGGATATGCGTGCAAAGTTTCAGATAATTCGGAGGTGTTTAGGTCGGGTTTTAGATCAAATGCAAGTTTCGGAAGTTTTAGTTTAACTTAGGCTTGAATCCGTGGTAATTTGATGATTTTGGTGTTTATGATAGTGTTTTTATGTTTACGAGCAGTTCGAATTGAAGTAATAGAACATAGTCTGTGCGATTTGGTTGAGGTTCCGAGGGCCTCGGGGTGAATTCGGGTGGTTAAACGAGAGTTTTGAGGTGTAATTGCAGGTCAGATTTTGCTGTCATCTGGTGTTTCCGCTTCTGCGGAAATGGACCGCAGAAGCGGTACCGCAGAAGCGGGTACGTGGTCGCAGAAGCGGTCGTGGCCGGCTAGGGAAATTCCGCATATGCGGAAGGTAGCTTGCACCAGCGGGTCCTCATAAGCGGACAAGGTGCCGCAGAAGCGGTCTTTGGAGGAACCGCAGAAGCGGACTTCGCGTCGCATAAGCGAAGTCCGGGCTTCTAAGTGAAAACCGCTTAAGCGGAAATGTGGCCGCAGAAGAGGTCCCGCATAAGCGAAAGCGGGACCGCAGAAGCGAAAATTGCTGGGCAACAGAAGGGTTTAAAAATAATATTTCATCCGCGACCCTTTCATATTTTTCCTCCATTGTTGACGTTCTTAAGAGCTTTGAACAAGGAAATTCGAGGGCTTTGACTGAGAATCACTTGGAGGTAAGTTCCTTGGCCTAAATATTCGATTTTATGGTAGAAATTACATGTAAATTGTAGAAAATTCATCAAAAACGGGTCAAGCTAGGGCTTGGAAAGCTGTGATGTAAAAATAGAATTTGGAGGGTCAAACGAGCTCCGATTTTGGTAAACTTTATATGCACGGACTCGTGGCGAGATGAGGAATCTGTTGGTGTGATTTTCGGAATTTTTCGAGAAGTGGGCCCGGGGCTCGGGTTTAACCAACTTCGTGAATTTTAGTACTTTTCGAGTATTTTTGATTGGGTTATGTTTCTTTAACCCATATTTATGTATTCGTTGTGATTTTGACTAGATTCGACGCGCGAGGAGGTCGATACGAAAGGAAAAGGCATTGCGGACCATTCTACGGCCGGTTAGAGGTGAGTAGTTGGTGTATATGATGGCCTGAGGGTTTGAAACCCCGGCTTATCACATTGTGACGCTATTGTAGGGCGTGACTCGCACCCCATGGCAGGTGCGGGATTAGTTATGACTGGGGATTGAGACTTAGTCCATCCCGAACAAGAATATTTCTACATTGGCGACTGATACGCATCCTGTATTGAATATATCTGGGCTTATTGCCGTGTTTGGGGCCTTGTGCCGATCTGTAGCATCCTTAGAGGATGATTGTCATTGTGATAGCATGCTTTGTATAATCAATGATCTCAGTCCTGTGTTTAATCACTGTTATGAAACGCTAAGTCACTCTTCCTGAAGTTAAATATCTAAAGTATATTCTCCTTAATAAATTGGAAATTGGGAAAATAATTGAATCTGTTACGTGACTCATATGCATATTGTGGACTGAGTATGGATCGGGCTGCACGCCGCAGCGAATGATATGATTATATTGCGCTTGGGCTGAAGGAGCCCCTCCGGAGTCGGTACACACCCCCAGTGAGCGTCGTCGGCGTTAAATGGATCGGGCTACGCGCCGTAGCGGTCATGTGCATTGCATTGCATCTTTACATTATACTTGACTGATATATTTTGAGTTGTTTTTGCTGTTAGTTCGTAGTTAGGTGTTGGACTGTTAGTTTTAGCTTTGCTTTGTGGAATTTCGTGGATTTCTTATCTTCAGACATTTTATATGCTTATTACTCACTGAGTCGGTAGTACTCACCCCTACTCCCTGCACCTTGCGTGCAGATTCAGGTACACCGGAGGCTTAGCTGAGCAGTCCTTGTTTTCCAGAGCTATTCAGAGTTGTTGAGGTAGCTGCTTGACGTTCGCAGGACCTGACTACTCTTCCTATTTCAGTTTTATTTATATATACATTTCCAGACTTGAGTATTTTCGTTCAGATATTGCTATTCAGATTGTTTTAGAGGCTCTAGACTCGTGACCCCAGATCTTTTGGGAGTGTTTTATTAGACTTCGTATTTCTTAGTATTATTCTTCGATAAATTATTAGATTATTATTCTAAGACTATTATAATCTCTTTAGATTGTCATTTGAGGTTTACGGTTGATTTGGGAACGATTGTGGTCAGATTTGCCTAGCAGTATTGTTGGGTGCCATCACGACCGGGTTTGGGGTCGTGACACTTGTGCACAGAACTACAACAACTCACTCATGCTGGGAAGATGATCAAGAAAGCTTATAATTACCTACTTCCTCAGTACCCTAGAGTTATATGGAAAAAACTCAACATGATTCCATGTTATGTACCAAAGTATCAGTTTATACTTTGGCTTGCACTTCAAAAGAGACTCAGTACAGCAGACAGAATGGCTAAATGGGGAATACAAGTTTCTAGGAACTGTGTACTATGCAGAACTGATGCTGAAGAAACACATTCACATTTGTTTTTTGCTTGTGATTATTCAAGACAGATTTGGAGTTCTTTCTTATCCCGGACAGGAGAAAGCAGTCAAGTAGGGAACTGGGAGGAGGAGATTGAGAGATTAGCGACTAAACAATGCAATAGCAAAACTCATGCAGAGGTACTAGGATGGTTACTAGCTGCTACTGTTTATCATGTGTGGAAGGAGCGCAATGCTAGACGATTTCAAGAGCAGCAACAGGAATGTGTCTCAAGACTGAGAGAGATTACCATTCAATTACATAGGAAAGAACAGTTTAGAAACAAGTGGAAAAGAGTACTTGATAGATTAAACTCATACCCAAGTCTAATATAGACTTACATTGTAATAGATATATAGGGGGGGGGGGGGGGGGAGTAAATGTAAGGAAGACACAAAGATCAGGACTAGTTCTAGAGTCAAAAAGAACTAGTGGATGTACATATTATACTGGTTGAATAAAAATTTTATTGTTTGACAAAAAAAGTAGATTGGGCTGATCACTCCATTGATCTTGGCGATCAATCTAAAACATGATGAGATAAAGAGTTTTTCCGAAAAATGACAAATTTAATCCATTAAGTTTGAGAGTAAATTTAAAGTAGTTTTTTAAGTATATTTTTAAGCAGTTTGATCATACCAGTTTGTCAAAACTCAAAAGGAAATACTTTTAATCTCAAAATAAATATTTAATAAATTTTCACCGCAAATCATAAGAAATTGTGAAAAGGAAAAGGTTTAAAAAATAGTATTAATTTGGATAAACTTATATGTAAGGAATCCAACCCCTGAACGTCAATAAGTAATGACCCCATTAAATTTTCTTTCCTTTTCGTTAAAGAAAAAAAAAAAGAGATTGTATTTTGGGAGAAAAAATAAGATGATTGCTAATAGACAAAGCTATCTCCAAAATGAATGGGTCATTAAACTGCCATCATGTATTTTTGATTTTCATGTTCGTTATCTCCATCATAATGCTTATTCAACATAGAATTTGCCATCATTTGGTGGTGTTCCACTGTCCAACAAACAAAAGGATCAATTGCATGTATCCTATGCCGTAGAAAATTATCATTAGGAGGAATTATTTCAGATAGTTTTTATCTATTACAATAATATCAGCTTGTCGGACTTCATAAATTTATGTTCATCATTTTGCTAGAATTGAGCAACATAATTTGTTTGTGTAACTTAACAAGTGCAAGCGCAGAAATTGATAATGTGGCCTATTTTTGAATAGGCATCTGGTATTTGAACTGAACTAATTTAAATTCACACATTGTAAAAATAAAGTTACACTCATCACTCAATGAAATTTATGTGCATCATCCATTGAAGTTCTTCTTAAGATTTATATTTTAGAAGTTAAGTAATGTTATCAATCTGTATTACTGTTATAAATAATAAAAACAATAAACTTTCTGAAATAGAAATAGTAAAAGAAAGTTAATAGAAACAGTATGTCGAAATAATATCTGAAAATAATTACGAAATAAATTGAGTCCACTGAATGCACAATGTATCCTTAAGAAAATTATTCCCCTTAAGTACTCGAGGTGTTGGAATATTATCCGCCCAGGATAGAAAGATTTAACTCACCAGAGTATTGGTACCAAAAACGCCGATGAAACAGCGAACCACTCGAAGGCTGTAAAACACACTGGAAAATTTTGTGCAGAAGAAGAAGCAGAACAGAAAATTTCGTAAGGAAAGATTATGGGATTCAAATCATATTTATAGCCTTTCCGGCACTGTTTTTGAAAAGGTTTGCAACCTTTCAGAAACAGCCATGGCTGTTGGGAACATTTTTGTTTGAAATATTGCGGGAAAATTGATTTAAAATAATCCGAGAAAGAAAACGGATCGGACCGGGTTGCATCGCGGGTCCTGGGTTATTCCAGATTGTTAGTTAAATTAATTAAATAATTGAAAGGAAATTTATCCAAAATGATTAATAAATCAATCTTTGACCAAATCTAAATCCAAATCCGAAGCCGAAGTCTAAAAAGGTTTGCAACCTTTCAGAAATAGTCATTGCTATTGGGAATATTTCTGTTTGAAATATTACGGAAAAATGGATTTAAAACAATCCGAGAAAGATAACGGACCAGGCCGGGTCGTGTCCCGGGTCCTGGGTTATTCCAGATTGAATTTGTTAATTAATTAAATTAAATAATTGAAAGGAATTTTGTCCAAAAATATTAATCAATCAATCTTTGACCAAACCCGAAGCCGAGCCGAGCGAGCGAGCGAGCGAGGACGGCGCGAGGCTTGCCTTCTTCTTAACTCTTTAAGAGCTAGAAGAAGAGCAATTATATATATACCCATCAAAAGTTTTTTCTTCCTCCAATATGGACAATGTCCCTTTGCCAAGGAGGGAAACTCAAATATTTCATTTTTCCTTCATTTCCCATTCACCCTCTTTAAGCTAAACCAAGCTTAAAAATCCAACAAACCCCCACGGACACGTGTGTGTTTTACATGCAAGAATTAATTTCATCTGGATAAGTAGATTTTCCTTTGAACTTTTCGTAGTGAACTTATACCAGATATACTCGGTCAGAGTTGATATCTTTGAACTGTCGAGCTTTTTTGTATACCTAGACAACATAAGTCACACAATCAACCCTTAACCATCTATGGTTCTCATGGTTGTGTTCGTTTCAGCCATGAACACCGCTTGTTTTCATGAGTGCTTAGAGAATGGGCCTTTACTTTTATTCCCCTTGAAGTGGCTTACACTCCACACTCACATATGTAATTTCTAAACGTGTAATCCTATAGATACACTATCTAGTCATATCCTGCCAGATTTAGCAAATCATTAAAAAGCTCTAAATTTTATTGACTCATCAAAAAGCCTTAATGCTTTACCTCGATTTATGAACATTGTCTTCATCACGAGAATGAGTTGAGTTATTTGATAATGTTGAACCGTCATTCATAACTTTATTTGATCTCTTTTAACCTAGCTCTTGGGATCTCGAGTCTGCTAGGTAGAGTTACCGCCATGATGACTTGTCCTGGGCCTTAACCCCATTCCCTTTGATGATCTTTTAACTGCCTCTCTAGATAGGCCTTTTATAAGTGGACCCGACACATTATCTCTTGACTTTACGTAGACAATCTTGATAACACCACTAGAGAGTAGTTGTCTAACGGTATTGTGTGTCCATCGTATATGATGAGATTTTCCGTTATATATAATGCTCCCTGCCCTGCCTATTGCCGCTTGACTATCACAAGGTATACATATAGGTGCCAAAGGTTTGTGCCAAACTGGAATATCTTCGAAGAAATTTCGGAGCCATTCAGCTTCTTCACCGGCCTTATCTAAAGCTATAAATTCAGATTCCATTGTAGAATGGGCGATGCATGTTTGTTTGGATGATTTCCAAGACACTGCTCCCCCCCCCCCCCCAATTGTGAAAATATATCCACTCGTGGATTTAACTTTAGATGATCCGGTGATCCAATTTGCATCACTATATCCCTCAATCACGGAGGGATATTTGTTATAATGCAAAGCATAAATTTGATATGTTTCAGATACCCCAAAACTCGTTTCATTGCCATCCAAAGTATTTGATTGGGATTACTTGTAAATCGACTCAGTTTGCTAATAGCACATGCTATATCTGGTCGTATACAATTCATGATATACATCAAACTTCCCAATACTCTTGCATAGTCTAGTTGTGAGTCACTTTCACCTTCATACTTTTGAAGTGCATAACTCACGTCAATTGGAGTCTTGGCAATCTTGAAATACAAATACTTGAACTTGTCAAGTACTTTTTCAATGTAGTGAGACTATGATAATGCTAGACCTTGTGGAGTCTTGTGAATTCTGATCCCTAAGATCATGTCAGCAGCTCCTAATAAGTCTTTCATGTCGAATTTGCTAGCCAACATGCGGTTAGTAGCATTTATATCTGCCATATTTTTGCTCATTATCAACATGTCATCAACATATAAACAAATAATGACTTCTTGACCTGGAGTGTTTTTAATGTAAACACATTTGTCACACTCGTTGATTTTAAACCCACTTGCCAACATTGTTTGATCAAATTTGGCATGCCATTGTTTGGGTGCTTGTTTAAGTCCGTAAAGCGACTTAACTAGTTTGCACACTTTCTTTTCTTTACCCGGAACCACAAAACCCTCAGGTTGTTCCATGTAAATCTCTTCCTCCAATTCTCCAATTAAGAAAGCTGTTTTAACATCCATTTGATGGATTTCAAGACCATACACGGCCGACAGTGCCACTAACACCCTAATAAATGTTATCCTCGTTACTAGCGAGTAAGTGTCAAAGTAATCAAGGCCTTCCTTTTGTCTATAACCTTTGAAACAAGTCTTGCCTTATATTTGTCAATAGTGCCACCAACTTTCATTTTTCATTTAAAGATCCATTTCGAACCTAAAGGCTTATTTCCCGGGGAAAGATCAACCAATTCCCATGTATGAGTATCCAAAATTGATTGAATCTCACTATTGATTGCCAGTTTCCAAAATGTAGAATCAGAAGATGACATAGCTGCTTTAAAAGTTTGAGGCTCATTTTCAAGCAAGAATGTCACAAAATCTGGTCCAAAGGAAGTAGATGTTCTTTGACGTTTGCTACTCCTTGGATCTTCTACACTTGGAGTATTTTTCTTTGGTTCTTCCCGAGGTCGTTTAGGTCTTTCACTTAACGACTCGCATTCAGTTTTAGACAGATAGATTTTTTCAAAGAATTCAGCATTATCTGATTTCATTACCGTATTAACATGAATTTCGGGATTATCAGATTTATAAACCAAAAACGGACATGCTTTACTGGTTGTAGCATATCCAATGAAAACGCAATCCATAGTTTTTGGTCCGATTTTTACCTTTTTGGGTGAAGGTATTTGTACCTTTGCTTATCATCCCCACACTTTGAAATATTTCAATTTGGGTTTTCTTCCTTTCCATTTTTCACATGGAATAGATTGCATTTTGCTATGGTGTCACGACCCTAGTTCACCAACCATGAACATGTCATGACGGCACCTGGTCCCCATGACCAGGTAAGCCTAACATTTGCGGAAATGTAATAATTGCGGAAAAATAGAGAAAATTAAATCAAATATCTAAAGGAAACTGTACTGAATGCCGCATGGCAAGTACAACTCAACATCACAAGTCTAAAACAATTCCCAAAACCCGGAAACTCACAAATCACAAGCTAAGGGATACATAAGAGGCTCTGACTCAAGAATATCTATACAAAGGAGAAATACTGAAATAACTATACTTATTACGGAAAGCTGGAAAGGGACTCCTCGGTCTGCGGACGTAGCAGATAT